GATTGTTTGTCCCCTCCATCTCCCCGGCGTGGGTTGGGGACCCCCTTGCACCCACCGGGTGCTGTCGCAGAGCAGGGGGTGCGGGGTGACCCCCCGAACGCCGGTGACAGCAGCTCGGGGACACATCCTGACCGACGGCTGCTCCCAGCCCTTCCCTGTCTGCTTCCTAAGGGCTAAAACGCTCCAGCGGCCATTTGAGGTGCCCAGAGCCCGCAGTTCCCCCGGGAGAAGCCCGATTTATCCCCAGCGAGGGCAGGGACTCGACGAGACCGTGACAAATCGTCACCCTAAATCCAAAGCAAGCGGCTTTTTACTTGCCGAGGGCTCGGAGCTTACGGACCCCACACCCTGCCAGGCTTTCCCACCGTGTCCCTGAGGATGGAGCTCGTTTTGGAGGGGCTTGTGGAGGGTCTCTGGCTCCCAGACCCCCCCGGGATGGCTCCTGGCACTGCACGGACCCCGAGGTGCCCACCAGGGGATGGGTTATGCAAGGGCTGGCACCGGGCACGGAGGGTGCCAGGGGATATTTTGGGCTCCATGGGCAGGACACATTCTGTTCTCGTGAGCTCAGCCAGTGATGGGGGCCGCTCCCTTCCCACCCACTGCCCAAAACCATCTTCCCACCCACCCAAAACCCTCACGGGGGTCCCCTGGGTGGCTCCAGGGCTCCACTGGGGGCACTGGGGCTCAGCTCCATCGCAGCCTGAGCTGGCCATGGCAGAGGCAGCCCCTGAGGAGCTGCTTTGTTTCCAGCCTGGATTTATCCCCTCCCACGGCAGAGGGTTGGAACGAGATGATCTTTAGTGTCCCTTCCAATCTGAACCATTCCACAGTTCTATGATTATCCATCTCCTGCCCATGCAGTGGATCCAGGTATCCACAGGGCAACGAGCTGCCAACACTCAGGGCATGGATATTCCTCCTCATCTCCAGTCCCACACAAACCCCTGCACCCCTGAGGGCAGCCCAGCCCCAGTAATGCCCATTTTCCAAAGCATTTCCATCAGCCTTAAAGTGCTCATTCAGCACTTATTATTATTATTATTATTATTATTATTATTATTATTATTATTATTATTATTATTATTATTATTATTTCCTATGGCTTTCCTGCATGTTAAACACCACCAACACATATTTTTTTAAATTGGGGGCAACAGTGGTGGAAAAAGAAAAAATTCAGTGGGATCATAACTCTCAGCTACAGGTGGGGAGGTTATTAACACACCTTCTGCCCTGCAGGACAACAGTGAAAGCTGCAGATAAATTATATATATATATGTGTAGACAAATTGCAGGCCTTGGTTATGCACAGGGTGAGGGATTTATTGGTTTATAATTGTGGCCAGCTGAAAAACCTGGTTTCACCAGACACATTGTGGTGAAAGTGCAGCAAAAAAAAAGGGGAGGTTCTCTCTTTTTTTTTTTTTTTTTTTTTTTTTTTCTTTTTAACAGCTCAGCCCTTCCCAGAGTGGCTTTGTGACCACAAACAGCACCTTCAGTCGAGGATCCCTTCCATTTGAACAAAATATTTGGGATGCCTCAAAGAGAGCCAGAAGGCAGCAGGAAAATTCCTCCCTGGACAGAATGTCCCTGTTGCCTTGACCCTTTCCTACAGCTTTGTCTTTGCTCCTCTGAGCTGTTTCAGCTCCCTGAAAGATGACTTCTTCCTCACTTCCTTGGAAAAAACCAACATGCAAATCCTCCAGCTGCACCAGGGTACTGAGACCCCATGGCCAGACCCCCCCATCTGGGTGGCAGAAAAGCCACCAGCGCTAAAAAAACTCTCAAAACACCCTAAAAATAGTGCCAGACTCACTTAAAAATAAGCTCAGGGTTGCCACTCCCAGTGTCTCCGGGGAATAACCCAAGGTTATGTGACAGAGGGCTGTCACCTGGCCCCCAGAAAACCCTCAGTGAGCCCCTTCCAGCCCTGCTGTCCCCCCTGTCCCTGCTCAGAGGTGGCTCCAGAGGGGCTCTGGATCCAGAGCCAGGATCCAGCTCCTCAGGCTGCAGGGCTGGCCCCTCCTCAGGGATCTTATCAGCAGCTTCCAGGGGCCGCTGCCCACGCCCTGATAAATTCTGGGCTGCACAGCACGGGGTTGGGGTGTCCCCAGAGCTGCTCCACCCCCCCGCAACACCATCCCAGCAGCAGGATCACACATCCCACGGAACACCCACCCTGGGATGAGCGTCCTGCCCCAAATTCCCAACTTCCCAGGAGGATGTCTCATCCAGAACAGGGTAGGAACAGTTGCCAGAAGGAGGGTGGACTGGAGTTGAACCCACCCCCCTCAGGCAAATAGGGAGTGCTCAGACCTCCCATTTTCCCCCCTTGGACAACACAGGGATGCTCCCAAACACTTCCAGAGCAGCAGGACCCCCTCCACCCCACTCCCCCATCCCCATACAGGATCAGCCCCTGGGCTGAGCAAGGGGAAAGGGAAAAAGGAGAAAGCATAAAAAAACCCCTAAAAATATAAATTAAATAAAAAACAACAACTTTATTTTTTCGAACAAGATCCGTAGCAAAGTCACTGGGGCATTTCTGTGCCCAGTCAGAAGTAAATACACCCAAAAAATATAGAAATAACTTAACTGGAGATACGATTAAACAGCCAAACCAAGGGTGGTGGTGCTGCTGGCCCTGGATCCTGCTCCAGCAGAGCCAGGAGTGGGGGGCTTTCCCAAAACAGACACCTCCCTGGCGACCAGCACCTCTGGGAATGCTCTGGCACATCTGGATAAAGCCATGGCCACTCCATCACCCTCACAGCAGGAGGGAGTCCCGTGTCCCAGCACAGCTCCCCAGCTCAGCCCCTCAAACCGGGGCAGTGGAGATGTGCAGAAAAAAAAAAAAAAAAGGGTGTAGAACACTCCACAAGCACCTCTCCCCTCACCCTACTCCTGCCCTGGCACCCAGGTTAAAGGCACTTCACATCCCAAATCACGGAGGATGAGGCAGAAAGGTGGGCAGGGGGTGTCAGGGCAGCCCCATCCCCACCAGCAGCTGCATCTGCCAGCACAACGAGACCCCAAAAAGCAGGAGCTTTGGCTCTGGCCCTCTCTGGCAGGGGGACAGTCCTCTCTGGCACAGGGCTGTGACACCAGCACAGCACCCACAGACACCCGAGTTTGGCTTCCTTCAGGCCCACCCCAAAAAGGCACAGAGCAGTGGGGCACCCCCAGCTCTGCCAGGGCAGCACAACAGGCTCTTCCCACCACTACTCCTCAGGGATCCCCCCTTTTCCAGGGAGAACGAACGGGGAAAGCCCCAACTTTCCTTCCACAGCTCCCTTCAGCGGGGAGATAACACTGCAGGCTCACTGGAACGGGGTGGCAGCTCCCCCCTGGGCTCCCCCCTGACCTGTGGGGCCCTTGGGGCAGGAGGAGGAGGAGGAGGAGGAGGAGGGAGCAGAGCAGGGTCAGGTCATGTAGCGGGTGACGGCGCGGAGGGCGTAGAGCAGAGCCGCCTGCATCCGAGCCTCTAGCAGGAGCAGGTTGATGTGCACCTGTGGGGAGAGGAGAGGGGGAGATCAGGGGGTGGGACCAGCACCCCCAAACACCTCACCAGCAGGGGAAGGGATCAGGCAGCACCTTCTCTGAATGCTTGAAGTGCCTCCAGAACTGGGTGTAGATCTGCTTGGTCGTCTTCTCCGGGTAACAGGCCACTGTCTTGATGTAGATCTTCAGGTTGCGCTCCAGGAGCTGGTTCACCTCCCCATAGTCGTAGTCGTCGTAGCTGGGGGGAGAGGGGAGGGGAGTGTCCTTCAGCCACAACCTCTGTGCACTCACAGAATCCCCAAATAGTTTGGGTTGGAAGGGATCTTAAAGCCCATCTCATCCCACGGGCAGGGACACCTTCCACTAGCCCAGGGTGCTCCAAGCCCCGTCCAACCTGGCCTTGGACACTTCCAGGGATGAGGAGTCCAAAACCAGGGATGGAGAGTCCACCACCCCTCTGGGCACCAACCTGTGCCAGGGCCTCACTTCCCTCATCACAGAGAATTTTGCACCTCCCTCATAATAAAAATTTCTTCCTAAACTGTCACCCCCCTGGGGTCCTTCTGGACCTCAGCTGAGCCCCACAACAACATCACTGTGCCTCAGTCAGGCAACAACCTGACCAAGACCCAGTCACTGGACCCACTCCCAGGCTCTTCCTAAGGCAGAGAACAATCTCCAGGCCAGGTTTTGGAGACCTACCGGATGCCGAAGACGCAGTGGACGTAGTTCCAGATGGCCCTGCGGAGCATGGAGGTGTCCACCCCGCAGTGCATGGCGATGGTGTTGTAGGTCAGGTTATAAACCACCTGGAACTTCTCGTCCAGCAGCTGCCCCACGTCCGGGTACAGGCGGTTGATCAGCGAGAAGCCGTGGTCCTCCCACGTGTAATCCTGGGGGATGGGGGGGACAGTGGGATTTCGTGGGGTCTCTCCCCCTCTAAGTTGGCCCCACAGCTCTCAGCATCTCGCTCAGCTCCAAGCCCTTCACCCACCCAGCTGCTCCCACGACTCCAACTGTCCCCCCACGCCAAGACAGGAGCTGTTCCCCAGCCAGCACCTCCCTCTGCCCTGAGCACCCACCTGGGCATGGAAGGTGGGGGGTGCCTGCTCCCCCCTCCGTGTGAAGTCCTTGTAGCCGAACTCGGGGTCCTCCACGAAGCAGCGGACGTGGGACTGCAGGGAGGGGTCCAAAATATCTGCAAGGCACCACCAGGCAGTGAGGTGGTGGGACCCCAGACAGAGCCAGCCCTGCACTGAGGGGCTGATCCTGCTCTCCCAGGCAGGTTCTGGCTCTTCCCCCTCCCCCTGGCCCACGTGGACCCTCTCCCCAGCCAGGTGCCCCCCTGCACCTCCTCACCTGAGGGAGGGACCAGCAAACTCTCCGTCTTTTCCAGCTCGAAGCGCGTCTCCATCTCCTCCTGTGTGACGCCCTCCTCCTCCAGCTGGTTTTCCTGCAGCAGCTTCATCCTCTCCATCAGCATCTCCACCTCCTGCATGGCGTCCTTGCCCTGGGGGGAGCACAGGGCAGGGTCAACCCTGGCCCTGCTCGAGCAGAGGGGCCCCCAAAACCAGCTCTGCTGGCACTTGGAGCAGCCTCAGGGCTGCTGCAAAGAGCATTTGCCTCTGGGTTTGTCCTGCCCAGACCTCAAGCAGCCCCCACGCTCCATCCCCAGGACTGGGAGGAGGGGGAAGCCTTGCAGAGGATGAGGGTGGACTCCAGGAGAGCTGGAGAGGGACTCTGGACATGGGATGGAGGGACAGGACACAGGGAATGGCTTCCTACTGCCAGAGGGCAGGGATAGATGGGATATTGGGAAGAAATTGTTCCCTGTGAGGGTGGGCAGGCCCTGGCACAGGTTGCCCAGAGAAGCTGTGGCTGCCCCTGGGTCCCTGGAAGTATCCAAGGCCTGGCTGGGGCAACCTGGGCTAGTGGAAGGTGTCCCTGCCCACGGCAGGGGGTGGAACAAGATGAGCTTTAAGGTCTCTCCCAACCCAAACCATCCTGGGATTCCCAGGAGAAGCCCCATAAAGCACCCAGCTCCCCACCACACCCTCCCACCCCTGCAAGGCAAAGCCCCCCCTTACCCCAGAGCCCCCCATGCTGTCCTCAGAGGCAGGGCTGCTGTCACTGTGGGGGGAGGGGGCCCAGCAGCCGTTCCCCCCATCCTGCTCCTCCTCGGGTTTGATGCCGCAGCCGAAGACGAAGGAGGCGAGCGAGTGGTAGTGGGTGAGGAGCACCAGGGCCTGCACCAGCTCTGCCAGCGACCAGCTGTCCTCCCCCGGCTTCAGCAGAGCCTGCAAGGCACAGGGAAGGTTGGAGAGACCCCCCAGCTTCCCCACTGAGCCCCCCAGCCCAGCCCAGAGCCGGGCAGACCCAGGGCAGGGACACAGGGGTGAGTTTGGGATGTGCCTCCCCTGCAGACCCAGGGGGTCACTCAGCCCCCAAGGGGTTAAACTTGGGGGTGGGTACAAACAGGGTGTGGCCCCCAGGGTCAAGCCCCCCCCCAGACAGTGTGTTTTGGGGGTGATCTGTGCTGGCAGCACCAGCCCTCACCTCGATGTGTTCCTTGGTGACGAGCCAGGGCCGGTGCGCCAGCAGCTTGTTGATCTCGTTGAGGTTGCGGAGCTTTTGGGGGGCACAGTGCAGGCCCTGCAGCCAGGCAGGGTTGCCCCCCACCTGCAGGAACTCCCCCATGTGCAGTCCCACCAGGTAGGAGCACTGGTGCCGGGCTGCTGCCTGCGGGAGAGCCGGGAGTCAGCCCCTAAAACCGGCCAGGGCTCCCCAGCCCTGATACAAACCCTCAGAGAAGCCAAGGCAGGGAGGCAATTCCCACTCCCATCCCTTCTGGAGGGATTTCCCTGAGGATTTGAGTCCAGACAGGGAGGTCTGACCCCCCCCCCCATCTATGCCAGTCCCCAGGGGCTCTGGAGGGAGGGGGAACCCTGGGTGGGCACCAACTCCAAAAGGGTTCATAAACCTTTGGGACACCCCAGATCAGAGGGGGCCCAACTGTAGGGTCCTAAATCCCTTCCTGCAGCAGTGCTGGGACCCCACCTTAACCCCCGGGACCTCAGATCAGGGAGGGGCTCATCTCTGAGATCCCAAATCCCTTCCTGCCCCCCAAGCAGCAGCGCTGGGACCCCCCAGAGCCCCCTGTGACCCCCAGCCCCCCCTTCCTCACCATGATGGCGATGTAGTGGCGCTTGTGGTAGGGCAGGGGCCCGTCCATGCGCAGCAGGAGGTACTGGGTCTTCCAGAAGCTGCTGAGGTACTGGGGGTGCAGCCCCATGACCATGGCCACGTGGTCCACCCTCCCCGCCGACACGAAGGCCTCGATGAGGAGCTGGCGCAGGCTGCTCTCCGCTCCTTCCCACGGGATCTGCGGGATGCAGAGAGCAGGGGAGGGCTGTGAGAGGCAGCCCCTCGCTCCTTCAACCCCACAACCTAAAGGGAGACACCCTCCAACCCCAGCAAGCAGCACCCATCCCCTTGCAGCAGATCCTCACCCCGCTGGGAGCTCCCTGCCTCCGGAACGGGCACCGCCGGTGGCTCCCGGTGCCTGCCTCCCCATTCCCATTCCCATTCCCAGGGGGCTGGGGGTGTCCAGGGGTGTCCATGCTGGATCCCGTGTGGCTCAGCCCGTGGGCTGGGTTGTTTATTTGGGCAGAGGAGGGCAGGAGATGAGGCTCAGCTCCCCCCCCAGTGTGGTGACGACACCACGGTGATATCTCTGCCCGGGGAGGGACCATCTGGGACACCCTCGTGGGAGCAGAGATAGGGCTGAGGGTGCCCCGGGGATTTGGGGGCAGAGCTGGGGTTTTTTTGGGAGGGGCAGGGCAGGAGTGGGCAGGGCCTTTGCATGACAAGGGATGGACAGCTGTGTCTGGATGAGTGGGGAAACTGAGGCACGGGCAGGGCAGGAAAACACCCGGGTGACAACACCAATCCCCCCCCAAACGACCCCCCCCGGGCTGGCTGACCCTTCCCCAGCACCCCACCAGACACTGGGAATTGGGGTGGGGCGTGGGAATCCCCCCTGATCACCCACCCAGGGCAGGGAGGGAGGGAAGGAGCCCCCACCCTACCCCAGCCCAGCCCCACTGCTCTTACCTCTGCCAGGGGGATGAAGGCGCTGGGTCCCTTCGCCAGCTCCCGGGGGACCTTGATCCCTGTCTCCTGGGGAGGAAGGAGCAGCCGGGAGTCAGCGGAGCCACCGAGTGTCCCCGCTGGTGTCACCGGAAGGGGTGACTCAGGCAGCCACCCCGCCGGGGCCACTGGCCCTCGCCCCCACAGCCCTTACGTCAGGCGGGCAGAGCCTGATGAAACCCGGCGGGGATGTTGCTCCGCTGCCGGAGGTGCGTGTGACACACCGGGACACGGGGCAGGCCGGCGGTGACACCGCCCCCTCCTTGGGAAAACAGGGAAAACCAGGGAAAAACAGGGAAAAACAGGGAGCGAGGGTCCCGCAGGGCGGAGGAGGGGGGGGACGGCAGCAGCACCGGGCACTGGGGTGGCAATGCCCAGCACGGCCACGGTCACTCTGACCCCACCCCAGCACAAAATATCCCTGAACATCACCAGCTTTCCCCCCTCCCCAAATCCAGTAACAAATTTAACTCAGAAACGAGCCCTGCCCCTTACAGGGGGCTTTCCACGCTCCAAGCACAGGGTTTAGATCCTTTCTGCCCTGCTCTCCTGCTCATCCCCCGCCCCATCTCCCAAGGGAAAAGCAAGTTTTCTATGCCATGTTTTCTCCAAACACCTGATTTCCCTCCTCTCTGCAGGCAGGTAGGTGCTGGCTGTCCCCAGTCAGGTGGCACAGGAGAGACCCTCTGTCCCCTGGGTCAGGGGGCATCCCACCAGGGTGCAAATTTGGGGAATTTCCTCTGCCTGAATCGCAGCAGCACCCAGAGGTGCCCAGAGCAGGCGGGGGGTGCAGCACCCACCCCCAAGAGCCAAAATAATCCCACAAAACACCTACAGAGGACCCAGAAATGAGCATGGAGAAGGGCTCAAGTGCTCTCAGCTCTGGGAAAGAGGGAAGGGGGCTGGGGCAGCGTCCCCCCAAATACAGGGGGGAAACCAGGACAGGGACATGGAAGCAGCAGCAGCAGCAGGAGGGACACTCAGCAGCTTCCTCCAGCCCACCCTCTGGATACAGATCCTGCCACGGAGGACGTGCTCAGGAATCCTCTCCAGCTGATGAAGAACCACCCTCCTCTTCCCCTTCCCTGCAGAAATCCCCCAGGCCCCTCCAGCAGCAGGGCCTGGGTGTGACCCACTCCCAAGCACCTCCAGGGGATGCTTGAGTGGGATCCCAGCACCAACCCAGGGGCTGGACCTGCCCATCCAGGGTCTCACCTCACCCTGGGATGCCCAGGAACACCCTGCTCCATCCCATGGACCCCCCAGCCCAGCCAGGGGGGAGCAGTGCCACAGAGAACCGGAGGCAGCAGCTGTGCCCGTGGTGTGGGACACAAAGCTCCCTCAGCCCATCCCAAGGGACACTTCATCCAGTGCCTGCTCCCTGCTCTGGGATCAGGAGACTCACACAGGGCACGCTGTGCCCACTGCTCACCCCACTGTCCCACCCTGGGGACACCCAGGGAACCCCAGCCCAGCCAAAGCCACCAAAAGAGGAAAATGAACCCTATCCCAGCCAAAACCAGGACACACCTGGATCCCTGCCAGCCCCCAGGACCCAAAAATAAACCACCATCCCCAGCAGGGTGAGGGGGGTGCTGCCCCAAACCCCCCTGAGGGGCAGCCGGGCTCCCACAGCACCCAGTCTGGGTGAACTGGCCAAGCACCCCACAGGGAGGGGCACCAGGGCACGACCCAAATCCCTCAGGAGATGGTGGGGGTGCAGCCTGGCATCCTCTCCTGAGCAGGGAAGGGGTGTGGGATGGCAGGAGGTGACAGGCAGCAGCTGTCACCGTGCCCACGCGCTGCCCACGAGCCGGGCAGCGGGACACGGCCCCGGGATACGGGCAGGGCAAAGCCGGGAGCACCCACATCCAACGGCTCCCGTGGGATGCTCCCGCCCTGCGTCACCACGGAAGCACTCCAGGGGCACGGCAGGAACCTGCTGCTCCAGGCGCTGAGCTGGCTCCGTGCTGACTCAGCGTTTGGGGACAGGAGCTGCTCCAAAAGCTCCGAGAGCGTCCCTGGGAAGGGACAGCAACAGCGAGAACCCGGCACGGCAAATCCACGGGACAGACAGCAGCATTCCAGCCGGCTGGAATTCCAACCCCGACGGCAGGGAGGAGCCGAGGAGCCCGGAACCAGCCCGAGGCTTTTCGGTGACAGCTCAGGGTGACCTTTGAAGGTGTTTTTAATCATCCCCTGCAGAGGCTCCTCGTGTTTTGCTGCATTAAGCAATCCCGGGGGGTGCTGTGGTTTAACCCTCCCCGTGCCGCCTCTGGATAAGGGATCTCCTCCTGCTTCCACTGGTGGGGAATCACGTCATGGAATGGTTCAGGTTGGAGAAGCCCCCTAAGATCACCGAGTCCAACCCAGCGCTGCCAAGGCCACCACTAATCCACGTCCCCAAAGTGCCACATCCACACATCTGTGGTGGGAAGTGATCCCACCACTTCCCTGGGCAGCTGTGCCAGGGCTGGACAACTCTTTCCATGAAGAATTCTTCCTGATATCCAATCCCGACCTCCCCTGGTGCAACCAGAGGCTGTTTTTTCCTGATATCCCATCAAACTGGAGGGGAACTGAGGCTCGGGGTGCTGTGCCCTGCCCAGGGCACACAACCTGCTCCCAGGCTGGCACAGGGCAGGCAGAGGGTCTTCCAGGGGAAGGAGATAATCCCCCAGGAGGGGGAAGATGGGTGTGCTGAGCACTAAACCCCCCTCCCCAGGCTGGTGCCAGGTGTGGGGAAACCATCCCTGCTCAGCTGAGGTTAAACAAACACCATCACAGGAACGCAACCGAGGCACCTTCACGGGCAGTGGGAAAGCCCCAGATCCATGGAATTGCAGTGGTACCTGCCAGACGTTTCTGGCCAAGGTTTAGGGCATCCCTGACACCCCCAGCCTCACCCCTGTCTGCTCCAGATTTCAGGTTTTGTCTCATGCCAGGACAAGTGCTGGAGTGACCCCCCTGCTGATTGTTCCCTGGGGTTTCTCCCACTCCCTATCCCGGCATTTCCAGCCTCCAGCCCGTGTCGGGAGTGACCATCCTGCAGTGACATGGCTGGGGGGCCACCAACTCCCTCCGAGCTGCAGAGCAATCCCGCTGTCCCTGGGGAAACCTGGGGGAAGGGGGAATGCAGGAGCAACAGGGAAAAAAAGTGTGTGGGGTTTTTTTTGTTTTTTTTTTGGAGAGGGGAAAATAACTCTCGCAAATAGAGGCAATTCCCAACTTTTCAGGACACTCAGGATGTTGTGGGACTGACACTGCAGACCGCTCTGGTTGCCTGGGAGGGTCAGGGAGATCGTGCAAAGCTCCACCGACACCCCAGTTTTCCACACCGGTCTCCAAGTGCACAAGCCCTGGGCGATGCCAGACACTTCCAGAATGTTTGGGTTAAGAGGGACGTCAGAGATCCCATAACCGGCCCAGGAACAGCAGCACGAGCCAAACAACGGGACAGAACGCCCAGAGCCCCTCCATCCTCCTGCCAGCCCCCCACCACTCACCCCGGCGGGCACGTCCCATCACCCCCCCCGCCTCAGTTTCCCTTTGTCCCCGGCTCTGCCCTGCTCCCACACACATCCCAGCTCCCGGAGGGATCGGCGACACCAAAACTTCCTTGCCCGGCCCCCCAGTGCTCCCCCAAGAGTCTGGGGGTGCTCCCAGCACCCCCCACCCCCCACCATTTCCAGCCTCCCGCATCCCGGCCGGTCCCTCGACGTGTCCCGGCTTGTCCCCTCCCTGCAGCCGGCCGGGGGTGGGCACTGTCCCCGGGCGGGGAGGGGGGACAGCAGCGATGCTCAGGGGGACACCCCCAGCCCCTCCCGGGTGGGCTGCCCCCCCCCCCCCCGGGTATCCCCACGGGAGCTCTTCCTTACCTGCCCGCCCCGCCTGGTCCCGCGGACCCGATGCTCCTCCAGGGGACACGGAGAGCCGGCCACGAGCATCGCGGCGGGGGTGGGCGGTGGGGAGACCCCTGGAGACCCCCAAAAAAACCCCCAAAATCCCCCCCGGACACCCCCGGGCTGTGCAGCGACCCCCGGACCCCGCGCCCGCCCCGCTTACATAGGGCGGGTGATGGACACGCCCCCTGGCGGCCTCCACCAATGGGAACGCGGGGGCGTGACCAGGGAAGTCCGGCGGGCCAATGGCAGCGTAGGGGCGGGGTCAAGGCACAGGCATCAGGTCAACCCGCAGCCGCCAGCGGGAGCTTCCCCCGCCCGCGGGACAGCCGGGAGTCCTGGAATTGTCTCCTGCGGGCAAAGGGAAAAGAAAACTGGTGGAAATCCCCTCTGCTCCGCCCAGAGAGAGCGGAGCTCACACCTGCAGAGCTGTCTCCGGCCCCGTGGACCGGCATCAGATTGACCCGGAGCTGCTGGAACGATTCCAGAGGAGGCCATGGAGATGCTCCCAGGGCTGGAGCCCCTCTGCTCTGGAGCCAGGCTGGGAGAGCTGGGGGGGTTCACCTGGAGAAGAGAAACTCCAGGGAGACCTGAGAGCCCCTTGCAGGGCCTAAAGGGGCTCCAGGAGAGCTGGAGAGGGACTGGGGACAAGGCATGGAGGGACAGGACACAGGGAATGGCTTCCCACTGCCAGAGGGCAGGGATAGATGGGATATTGGGAAGGAATTCCCTGTGAGGGTGGGCAGGCCCCGGCACAGGTTGCCCAGAGAAGCTATGCCTGCCCCTGGATCCTTGGAAGTGTCCAAGACCAGGTTGGACGGGGCTTGGAGCATCCTGGGCTGGTGGAAGGTGTCCCTGCCCATGGCAGGAGGTGGAACAAGATGGGCTTTAAAGTCCCTTCTATCCCAAACGATTCTGAGATTCTGTGAAATGGAGCAGGAGGACCCTGCACACCTTCCCAGGCAGGTTCTATGCCCTGTCACAGAATCACAGAATACCCTGAATTGGGAGGGACCCACCAGGGTTGTGAAGTCCAACTCCTGGCTCTGCACAGGACAACCCCAAAATTCCCACCTCTGCACACCAGGGAACAAATCCCCCTCCAGCCACCTCAGTGCTCCCTGCCATGGAACAGTTTGATCAACCCCATGCAGAGGAGCCCCAAGAATTGAGCAGCTTTCCCTTCCCAGCCTCTGGAAGGTCCCAGCCCAGCTCCTGTCCTTTTGGATAAACTCCAAGCTCAGTGAAAGAGTCATAGAATCCCAGAATGGTTTGGGTTGGAAGGGATCTTACAGCTCATTTTATCCCACATCTTCCACTAGCCCAGGTTGCTCCAACATGGCTTTAAAAAAAAAAAGAAAAAAAAAAAGGTGAAAAGGAGAAAAACAAGAAACATAAAGAAAAAAAATTGAAAGACAGGGAGAAAAAAATCCACCCCCACAAGCAGGGGCAGCCCCAGACACAGCACTGCTGCCACTCTGGTGCTGCCTGACAGCCCGACACGGCAAAGTCCAGCAAATGGGAATTGCTGCACAAACAACTCCGGCTTTGCCTGGCAACAGCCTCCTCCAGCTCTGCCCCAGCTCCTGCCAACAAAGGGAACGTGTCAGGGCCCCGTGGCCAGCACAACCACAGCAGCCCCTGCGGGGAGGGAGCACATCCCAGTTTCAGATGTCCCTGGTCACTGCTCCTCGTCCTTGTCCCCTTCCCGGGGCTATTTTTAGGGTGTTTTGCAAACACCAGGGTGTTCTTCGAGGGTGTTTTGCACCGAGGGCGTGGGGTCTGTGTGGCTCTGGCCACCCCTGGGTTTCTGCTCCTGTTCTGCCACCTGTGTCACTTCAGAGGTAGTTTGGGGGTTTCATTGCAGCTGCTCTAGGGGGGACCCAGCCCTGCACTGCCCTGGGGCTGGAGGGGCTCCTGCAGCCTCTGCCACCTCCATCCAGCTCCAGCAGCAGCTCCTTTGGCCCTGGACACAGAGAAGCTGTGGCTGCCCCATCCCTGCAAGTGTCCAAAGCCAGGTTGGACAGGGCTTGGAATGACCTGGGCTGGTGGAAGGTGTCCCTACCCATGGCAGGGGGTGGAACTTTAGGGTCCCTTCCAACCCAAACCATTCCAGGATGATTCTGTGATTCCCCCTGAAGCCGCAGCTCTGTGTTTGCTCTGGCTGAACACGTCAGCCTGGAGTGGAAAATCCATCTCTTCCTCTGCAGCACTGAAGGTAACACAGTGTAAACAAAGCGGGGGGGGAAGGGGGGCTGCCTTTTTTTCCCCCTTTCTTCTCCCCCCCTAAAAAGCTCTGGCTGTGAGGGGGACAGGCTGAGATGAACCTGGGGACCCCAGGGCTGGGGCAGGGTGTCAGGCCATGATCCAGCTGGAGATGCTGCCAAGTATTTAATACAAAAATATCCCATCAGAAGACACGGAGGGCCGTGCCAGGAGGATATTTATCCCTGTGTGCTCAGCAGGGGCAGGAGGGGCTTAGCAGGGCTGGGTGGGCACTAACCCATGTCTCCAAGTGCCACATCCACATGGACTCCACCACTGCCCTGGGCAGCTGTGCCAGGGCTGGACAGCCCTTTCCATGGAGAAATTTTCCCTAATATCCAACCTGCCCCTCCCCTGGAGGCCATTCCCTCTCCTGCTGTCCCTTGTTCCCTCAGAGCAGAGCCCGACATTCCCCCCCAGCTCCCCCCTCCTGTCAGGGAGTTGCAGAGCCAGAAGGTCCCCCCTGAGCCTCCTTTTCTCCAGGCTGAGCCCCCCCAGCTCCCTCAGCTGCTCCAGCCCCTTCCCCAGCTCCCTTTCCTTCCCTGGACACACCAAGTCCACCTCAAGTCCTTTTCCCACCACCCTCACTCAGAGCACTTCTCCTTCTGTCCCACTCTGAGCTCATTCCTCCAGGAAATACAACCGCAGGAAGGTTTTCCACACTGCTAATTCCCAGCCAGGCTCGTCACAATATTCACAGAAAAAGGGTGGCAAGGGAGAGGCAAAACTTCCTGGAGGACAAACCCGAGACCCTGTTTCCAGAAACAGCAATCCTGGGAAACACACTCAGCAGCAGGTAATTATTTAGGGATTGACAGTGCCCGGGTCATCATCCTGCTGACTGGACAAGCCTGGTGCTCCAGGAGGGCTAAACAGGAAGGGAAGGCCGATTGCTCAAGGTGTGTCACCTCAGAGCAAGGTTGGCTGGGGACAACTCCTGCCTCTTGTCACCAGCCAGCAGTTTTGGGCAGCCCAGACTCCCCAGCCTCAACTGGGCTGGAAGAAGGAAGCCCAGAGCAATTGTGGGCTGGAGAAGGGAATTGGAATCATGAAATAGCTCAGGCTGGAAAAGATCTTTAAGATCATCAAGTCTAACTGCCAAGGCCACCACTGTCCCACGTCCCCAAGTGCCACATTTAAAAGTGCTTTTAAACCCCTCCAGGGATGGGGACTCCACTCCTGCCCTGGGCAGCTGTGCCAGGGTTGGACAACCCTCTCCATGGAGAAATTTTCCCTAATACCCAACCTGAACCTCCCCTGGCACAACTCGAGGCCGTTGCCTCTCCTTTCCTCCACAGCTGCCCCGTTTGGAGCTGTGGAGGGTCGGTGATTCCCAAGGCAGGGAAGGCAGATGGACGTGGCTTTGGCAGCACAAACACATTGCAAGCAGTGGTTCGCACTGGTTTGTACTGGTGAGTGATCCCTGTTGCTCTGGGAATAGCAGCTGTTATCCCCATGTGCTCTGGGAGCTGGGTATGGGGAAGGAGGGAGGTCACAGCCAAAACACCTTTGGACTCCTGGGCCTCTGAAGGTTTTCTTGGAAGAAGACAAAGGGCAGCCAACTTTTCTTCAGGGAAATCTCATGGAAAGAGGGCAAAGCTCCACAACAGAGGAGCAGATCTCACTGGCTGCGGCAGCTGGACCCTCTTACCCAGATCAGGAGCAACACTGAACATTTCCCATCCCTAAAAACCCCAGTTCCTCACTTCCCTCACCTCTGGGACGAGCCTTGTGCTCTCCTCTCCTGCCTCAGCCACCAAACACAAGCCACTAAAAACTTTAAAAGATTTGAAAATCCTCAGTGTTGGTTTTTTTAAAGACAGCTTTGAAGCCTGTTGCCCCCCCAGACTGTGCTGCCTGAGCCAGCACTCCCAGAAACCCCAGGAACTGGGGAGGAGTGGAAGGGAGAGTGTTTGTGGGTAATTAGCAGCTGGTTAAATGGGTTTAATTCTGCTGCAGGTTCAATCCTGCTGTGGGTTCAACCCTTCTGTCAGGCTGCAGAAGAGTTTATATTCATTTCCACACTAAAGTTTCAGATCCTTGCCCTGGGCCCTGCAAGTTTGGAAAGGAGATATTTATTCAAGTAATTACTTAAAATAAAATAAAATAAAATCTAATCCTCCTGCTTGGCAGAGCTCAGGAAATGCTTTGCAAGAGGGTTTTGTTGTGCCCTGAAAACCCAACCACCTCCAGCTCCCCAGGGCAGCACTTTGGAGCTTCTGGATCTTCAGGAAGGATTTCTGCTGGAAGCAGGGGAGGGGCAGCCAAACCTCAGCTCATGGAATGGGGGAAAAACACTGACCAAAAACATCGGGTTCACTCACCTCACGTCTTTAAAAAGAAACAACTCCCTTATCCTCACGTTTTGTTTTTCCTGCTGCTCTTTCCCCGCTCTGCCTTTGTGCGCTGGGGGAAGAAAACAGGGAATAAATCTTGGATACAGCTGGATGGGTCCTGGGAAGCTGGGATGTAACCAAGTAACGGGGCTCCTAGCAACAGGCTTGATGGGAGGATTTAAAGATAGAAAGAAAAGTAGGAGCAAAGCAAACAATGGGGAAAAATGCCGACTCCTTCCTGGATAAATCAGCTCCAGGCAGGGGGAAAAGATGCTTTGGTTGCTTTGTTTTTCCATTCTTTTAGTTGTTTGTTGTTTTTTTTTTTTTTTAAAAAAGCAAGCAGAAATTAGGAGCCACAGATGAAAGGTTTTGATTTGTTTGTTTTTGTTTTTGTTTTTTTTTT